TGCAATTCTCCAGCCATCTCCAGGCACAACTGCCCCTAATAAGCTTATGTCTAGGTATTTCTTCTCACCTTTCCTCCCTTTCTATCTCCTTCAGTCTCTCAGCTGATATTAAATACTTATTAGTCTGGGGACTACAATTTTGCCAACTAATGCAATCCAACAACAACACCTGTACTTATTACACAGTCCAAGATGCCATGCTGATAATGATAAAGAATCACTTTTCCTTCACTTGTGAAAGAACAGCCTAGCTTACCTTACCCTGCCATGGTTTGTTTTCTAAATTGCTTTACCCACATGAAAACATTGACTGCAGATGAAAGGCCATGTTTAGGTTGATGATGGGAGAGTGAAAAAGAGTTAAGCCATTTGGGGGCATGCTGTGATCAGGGGAACCCCATCAAGATGGGACAAGATGGGACATACAGCTGTGGGCAGTGCTACTAGTTATCAGGGCAGTGTCCTTCTTTAATGTGAGGATTGTGTTTAAGGTAATTGTAATTTAAGGTTTGTACTGAAAAGACTGTATTTTGTAATGCAAGTAACAAAACAGAGTGCTCTTTGTTTTAAATTCTGTTCTGTGAGAAAGTCCTCTACAAATTTAGCAGGACTGTGCATGAACTTATCTGGCCAAAACAATTTCAAATAATTGCAACTAATGCTTTGAGATGACTATAATAGTACAAAATCTCTCTCTGAAGCCTCTTGAGGCAATTTACTTGCTCCAGAACTTCTGAACTGTGTGTGTGTTATACAACTCTGTGCACCCACAAAGGTCATGTGTTTTCTGTTCTCTTACACTGTGATAAACATCTGAGCCACCCAACACATTTGATTTTGTTTTTTAACTCCTGTGGCACATCTGGTCCGAAGAGGAGCAGGGCTGTAGGAGACAGCTCAGAAAAGTAGGTTTGAGGCTGCAAACATACTGCTTGTGGTTGGATGTGATTCTGGAAGAACATGAGAGGTTTTACAGACTGGATGTTACTTTAGCACATTGTGTCAGTAAGCAAATAACCTAGAAAGAGAGTCTCAACTGCATCTGCCATGGTAACTGTCAGTTTGCAGCTGACAAAATGAATCCTGCATATCTTGCACACAGGGACAATACCAGATGACAAAATGATAGGAGACCTCTTTTGCCATGGACAACGGAAAAGGCTTTTGTGTCACCCTAGATACTGCCTGCTGAGGAAAACCCCACAATAGGACACTATTCTGCATTTTAGGCCAGGAACATTTTCCATGGAGTCTTGGCAGTACTTCGTAGTACTTTGAGTATTGCTGTAGCATGCCTTGCAAAAGCTCCTTCTTCATGCAAGGGTAGCTATTGTGACTTTACCAATGCTCCCATCTCTCTCTGGCACCTTCCTCTTTCCTTTCTGTTCTCCCTTTTGGGATGCATGTCTCCTTGCTCCCTCTACTCCACCAGCTCAGAAACAACATGTGTGCTGGTGAGTTTGCTGCAGCTGTCACTCGCTTTCCAATGTAAGTGGCTTATTCTAGCAACTCTGCAGGGCTCACAGTGTAAATGGTGACGACAAAGGGTATGTGACATCAGACACATATAGTCCTTGCTACCTTGTATTAAACTGTGGCACATATACCTGAGTGCTGGCATGTTACCAGGAGAGATGGCATTTGGGCAAGATGACCTGGAGCAGGAAGAGCGCCTGGGTCAGGCCAAAGTGAAACAATACAGCGTGAGATAGTGGAGGACTGCCAGCAGCAGAGCGGGCAGGAAGGCTCCCATATGAACCTGAAAGCAAACAAACTCACTGCCAAGTAGCACTACTCCTGCTCCAAGGAGGATCACTTATTGCAGTTTGAATTATTAGCTCATTTGTTGTAGTAAAAGACTGTGTGGATGCAAGGCACTGTGAGGAGACCAACCTAAATTACCTGTGTGCAAAAAAAGGCCTGGGAGTATATTTATATCCCTGCTCTGCTATGGGACTCTTACTCAAAGCACAATATAAATCATTATGTAAAAATCAAAATACCTTTAGTCTCTGCAATGTACCTGACTTCAAAGCACAAGTTCAATAAGTTAAGCAGAATTGGTAATACTTGATGTTCAAGTAGAGCCTCTATAATATCTAATTCCTACTGCTCTTAACATGTGGGAAATTTGCTTTGGGAAATGAACTTAGTAATATTTGGTGCTTTCCCAGCACACACCAAAGTACTGACTTAGTAAATCACTGCAACAAAATCACTGGTTCAGAGGAACCTTCCTCTCTTTCACCATTTGCTGCACCTTTAGAACTTAAAGAAAAAATTAAGTGGACTAATTTACTTTTACACATGGACAGTTTTTGCTGTGTCATGTGACCAATTTAAAGTAGCTATACATATCATAAACCTAAACCCCTGCATTGTAGGATAGTGAATCTTTATAATGATAAGCTACTTTTGTATGTGTGACTGGGGCTTGATACTGTCCTGAAGTCACAGATTTCTTGAAATGCGCAGCCTCTTTGAGTCTCTTTCAGGGCTGAAAAACACACAGTGGGGACTCTAGCATATACACATAAATCTTGTCAGTTAAATATAGATTAATGTGAATCATCAGGGAGCAAAAATACTTCACTTTTTATGGTAAACACTATAAAACATGGTAAATAGTTAACTTCAGTTTTATAGCAAAAATGAAGTTCTGTCATCCCCTCGAAGCACTGAGTTCCCTCTTTTTTAGGCATTTGTCTTTCTTTGCAGATTAAATTCTATTCCTAGTAAGTAATATTCTTTCCCCATACTTTCCTAAGAATATAAGAAACACTCATTTCACACACTCACTGGAGACCTAACTCCGTGAGTTTTGGGGGTTTTGTGTTCTTCATTAACTGAAGTCCAGTCTGATTTCTTAATCTTTGCAGAAATGGGAAGTTGTTCCTTGTGGTTTTGGTGGGTTTTTTTGGGGAAGGATTTCACCATATGGTGAGAAAAAAGGAACAGAAAAACACATAAGGTCATTTTCTCGGTAGTCTAACCAGTCCTTGAGTCAAGGTGGCTTGTTGTAGCTTAACTCCTAACAGTATAAATCTCTTGCATTCACATAAAGCTGAGAACCTTAATACCCATATCACCTTTGAAAACACTGCTAAGGATTTAACAAAAATGCTTTTGGTCACTTAGGCCAAGTTAAAAGACTGTGCTCGCAGCCCACCCACTGGGACACAAAAAGGCGATGATTCAAATCCCTGTGCAGGTAGTGTGTGACTACAGAGGCTGAACTCCTTGGAAGATAACCTCAGCTATGCTCGAAGAAAGAGAAACGAAGATAATGGAAAAGAAACAACTATAATAACCATCTGCAAGCGCACATGGCCTCTACTTTAGCACCCATAAAACTTAAAAGGATAAAAGAAAAGGAAATTGCTTGCAATATAGCAAAGACAATTTTATAAACATTTCTTCTTATCCTTTTGTAGGGTTACCCTGTTTCTGGTATTAGGAGTGCTGTGTGTATTAGTGTTTAGTGTGGAGAGGGGTATATTCCAGGAAAAATCTTTCCTTTGCTTTCCCTTCTACCCTACATATACATGCATTACTAGTTTAAAAGTGTACCCCAGGGCATCATTGGTATTGTCCAGCACATCAGATCAGAGTGCATTGCCTGGGCTACGCATCATCCCACCCCTTGTGTGTGAACAGGGATCTGTCCTAGCTCCGAGCAGCTGCATGGCTGTACAAAGCAATGATCCCATTTGAAATTAGGAAAGAAATCCAGCGGTGATCACAGTGACTTCCTTGGGCTAGGCTTAATTTTGTCCTTTTGCAACCAGCATAGCTTTGGGCTGTCAATAGCTTTACAGCTACTACAAGTCCCTTAAGTGCAGGCATAACTTTACAGCCTTTTTATCAGAATGCAATGCCAAATTACATGTGCCCCTCCTAAGGCTTCTTTCCCCCCCAAAGTGGCACTAAGACTTTTGTTTTAACTGGACTGGATCCCAAGCCCAAACCATACTGGAGCCCCAATGCCCTCCTGGGAGCAGCCACGAGGTACTGCAGCTGGGAGATGCTCAGTGGACCCACAAGGTGCTGAGACAAAGGACAACCTGCAGCAGTTTTAAGTGTGTAGAATGAAAACTTGCTTTGTTGCCTAATATGTATCTTCCTAATCATAATGGAACTAAACCAAGTGATTTGCTGCAACCTAAGCCGTTTGTGCCTTTGAAACGATATGTTTTGCAAACTTTTAGTCATGTCAGAAGAACTGAGCTGAATTTCAGTCCACACCAGGTATAAGCTGCTTCTTTTCTAGGAGAACAACAATGTGTACTCCAGAACTTTCAGCAGCAGACTACTCTTCAGCCTAGACATGAGCCTTACATAAATTCAGAGGTCACCAATTATTATGGCTTCATCAAGAACCTTATTAGTGATCATTAAAAATAATCTTGCTTAGAAGGGGACTGCTATGGGCAAAGCCCATCTTTTGTATTTATTTTATGACTATTAATGTTTTTTTTAATGTTTATACATTAGTGAAAGGAACAGTGTTAGCATAATTCTAGTGTAAAATAAAACCAGCTGTATCCATTATAAGTGCATTACTGCCAGGAACTGTAAATATGTTTATGCCTGATAGCCTTCTGACTCAATAATATCCTGCTATCTCTGTTGGGCAGGCAAGTTTTTAAACCAAGAAAAGACAGGTTATGATTTTCATAACCAAACTGGGTTTCTTTTTGAAGTATATTATCTAAATTCAAATTTTAAGAAGGTCATTAAAAAAATCTGCCTGTGATTTTGAAGGAGAACAACTGAAATGTCATCTTCAAAGTGGTGGCAAGGAGGTATGATGTGCACTAACAACAAGTTATTCCTCCCAGATATACACACACGCAGACAAACCCACCATATCATACCATACAAACAATTTTAATTGTGTAGTTACAGTCAATAACCACTCCTAGTCAGAACATTTCTGCATAAAGAAAATTGTGATACACTTATAAAAACAGCCAGCTGTAACAAAATAACTGGTGTTTTCATAGCAATAAACTCATAAAAAAGAAATACACCTTTATACAGAAAATTTATACAGCTGTAGCTTTAAAATTGATTGTAAACCAAAGGAAGACACATTGCAAACATCAATTATTTTCACATTAATTGCATAAGTTTCTAAGGTGATCTATTAGTTTTATTTACCTAAGCTTATTTGCATGATAGTAAAAATTGCATACAACAATAAGAGTGAAGCTTATAGTATGAATTGCTTGGATAACATAGAGCACTTTTTATAGGCAACTGTGTAAAGCACATTTTCTCTATTTAAAACTTTTAAGACACTTTGTTTTACTGCCCATCAAAATACATTTATAAATAGAAAAAAAATCAGTATGATAACAAGAGAAGCAATATTACATTTAACGGAAACTTCCAAAAAAATTAATTACAACATGATGCTGCAGGATCTACAAATAAATAATGAGGACTAAATTGTGTTTCACATTTTCTTTTTCATTTTCTTTAAAACCATGTAACAATGAGAATGGAAAAAAAAATACAGTGACCTTTATTTCCAAAAGAAAACAAATCTGAATTACGGCAGTGCCATATAATACAAGGCATTTGTTGGCATATGTTATCTTTAAACTGCATTCCACAGTCTATAGTTCTTTTGTAACATACAATAGAACAAGAGTAACAAACTCTTTTTATTTTATTTTTTTAAATAAATGTGAGTTTCCAAAGATCAAGTGTGGAGTGCTACAGTAATAATTAAAAAACAAGAACAAAACAGAAACAAAAAAAAACAGTAAATCACAAAAGTTGTAATGCTTGTCTGAAGGCTCCAGAATCAAAATCACTGGTATCATGCTTATTGGGTACACTCACAGTGTATCCAGTGAACACAAATTAATATCAAACAATCCTCAACGCTTCATCTGTTGCTGCGAAGCAGTTTGTAAAACAGAGTAAAACATCTAGTGCAGTCTGCATTATCCTTTTTTCAACTTTTGTGCAAGTTTTGGAAGATTCATTGGCCAAACAATGAATAATAAAGGTTTTTGACAGAACGCAAGATGGAATTTTCATTTCATTAGTAAATACCAGTGGCACTGTTGAAAGAAAATAATACTTTTAGATCAGTCTTTCAATTCAGCATTAATCTCTGTGTTCCCTTCTACTGATAACTCTTCTTCTAGTTTAACCGAAAAAAGCGTGTTTGCATTTTTGTCTTGGATGCTGTCTTCTAAATCCTTGAGCAGCTCTTCTTCCTTGTATTCTGCAACATCCACCTCCAAACCAGAATTGTCCTTCAGCTTCCCGTGGTGCTTGAGATAGTATCGCTGGTTCTGAAAGAACTTGATAATGGTGTACTTGGGCAGGTCAAGCTGAGCGGAGAGAGTCTGGATTGCTTCTTCATCTGGATACAGGCCTACATCTTGTATGAAACTCTGTAGGATCCCTAGGGCTTCAACAGAAATCTTTGTTCGCGGTCGGGGTTTCTGACGATTTTCATCCTCAGATTCAGCTGGTGATGCTACTGTCGGTTGCCTTGGGGGTAGTCTGGGACCTGGTTGTTGTTGCTGCTGCTGCTGCTGTTGTTGCTGTTGCTGCTGCTGCTGCAAGACAAAGAACAGCATTTTTTTTGTACATGTATTCTCGCTCATATTTTGTTACTATGAAAATCGAAGAAGGGTGGGGGGGGGAATTGCAAAGCTATAAACAAAGGCTTAGTAAGTTTGAAGAGCAAAAAGGAAGGGAAAAAAAGAAAGAATTAAATAAACACCCTATCTTTGTCTGAATGAAAGTGCTGATGATATGACATTGGTGCAGTTTAGCTGACAAATTTTAATGAACATGCTCCATGAGTCAAGTGCAGACAAGACAAAATGCTAAGTAGGTGACATAGTATAGGATTAACTTGACCAGCTTAGCCAGAACTGTAGCAAGGGCAAAGTGAGAAAAGTGCCAGATGAGGGCAAACACGCCGGAGCTCTGCCAGCAACGGCAGCTGCTGCCCAAAAACAAGGGCTGCAAATCTCTAGCAATAGCTAGAGGAAGGGACCAGGGAATCAGGGAGGAGAGCACTTTAGCTGAGTGCGGAAATATCTCACTGCTGATCTGACCTTAGCATGCTCTGAAGTCTCATCAAACTTGCAAACATTACGACAGAATGCGTTGGCTGGAAGAGCCTAACGTCATGCTGTCAAACCCAGCCTCGGCAAGGACAAAGAGATCTGGAGGTAGGAAATCTGTATTTCCCCTTCTGGCTCCGACCTCTCCTGCCTGTGGTCTTGGAGCCTGTATCCTGTGTTGCCTGTACCCCAACGTATAAACAGGGAACAGACCGATTTACCTGCCTCTGTGTTTGTGCTGGGGATTATTTAGTTAATATTTATAAAGCACTAAGATGCAAAGCTCTAAATAAGTTGCACTATTATTATTAGAAGGGAACATACTGCATTCCAAAAACTCAGGCAATAAAAATGAGCCAGTATGCACATCAGAAGAATAAGATAAAGCAAATCATGATGTAAATAATTAACAAGAGCTTAAAATGAAGTTTTGCAAGCATGGATTCAGAAACATTCTTAAAAGGTGAGGCACTGAGCCCAGGGACAGAAATGTTTTTGTCATCTACCACCAGAGTACAGTACACTATAAGATCATGTTTAAAATCAAAAGTAAATTTATCAACCACTGTTATTGTTGACAATTCTGCTGCTGCACAGCACAGGAAGCATTGGTTAGTAAGATACTTTGGATCAGCAAATTTCTTGTCATATGGTACAAACCACCAGTTATTAAAAAACAACAGCAAAACAAGCAGTTGCTATCACTACATTTCATTTCCCTTTGCGAGTCTCCCCTTGACTATTTTTTTTGTGTTGGTAATGGCTTCCTAACTTCAAGTTGCAGCTCTTTGAGACCCTAAGAACCACAAAATGCTGTACAAATGGTATAAATAGTGGAGGGATTATAATTCTGTCTGCTTTGCTGGGCCACTTGTGGTTCTGCAGACTTTGTATAGAAGTTTAGAAACCACAGCTTTAAATGATCTTCGTCTTCTAAGATCTGGCACAAATGCTAGTGGAATTAGGGCTCCTTCCTCATCCCTATTCACGTCCTTTCATGTTTTATGGTCTGTGAGCAGTCCCATTCAAGGCTCCTATCCTAAAGAGATTCAAGACTAGTCCCAGAACATAAAATTCTTACAAGACTGGAGGCTTTGTATATACAGTTTGAATACTTGTGTCTGAGCTACATATTTATGCATGTACAACAATTACCATGTAGAAGAGCAGAGACAAAACTCGGGCCCAATCTCCCAATCCTCACTCTTACAAGTCATATTAAGAGATTACAATGCAACTCCTTATGTGAATAATATTTGTGAGATCAAACACACAACTTTTATCAACAAGGCAAGAAAATCTAAGTAAGTGGCATAGTGGTTGAATGTTTATACTGTGCATAAGCTTCTCCTTTTATCCCCTTAAGAAGCGATTTTATTAAAAACAATGTACATTTTCAAACAAGTGCTGTTTTATTACTTAATATAGATCTTTCTCTCTCTTTTTGCTAAATCAAACAGCAAGTTTCCAGGCTTTCACAATTATTTTAGTACTTGATATCCTAAGGGATTGTCTTATTCAGTTTGCTTTATCTTTAATATACACTCATGTTGTTTCTGGCTGTGAGATAACTCTATCCTTCCTAGCTTTGTAAATATTTTTCTGCATAGGTAGTACAAATGATACACTGGGTCTCAGCTGAGGCTAGGAAAACCTGGGGTAATATCTGCCCTTTAAGAGGGAGCAGTTACAAGTCTGACTTCAGGTCTTTTGTGAGAAGTGATTAAAGAGTCCCCAGCTCAGAGAGACAGCAGTCCCCACTGGCAACCTGGGCTACAAAGCTCAGCAAACAGCCAGCTCTGCTCCTGGTTGGCAGCTCCTGGTTGGCAGCGCCTGTGCGAGCAAAAAGAGTGAGTGCAGCCCCTGGAAGAGCAGGCACCGCCGGGGCTGTCTTGGAGCAGAGGGCAGTTGTTGCCAAGCCTGTGGGTGCAGGTCCTGCATTCCCTGCTCTGTCTCCCTAACGCGGTGCCTTTGTGCCAGCTCACCTGCGGAGCAGCACCCAGCCAAGGTCCAGCGGTCAGCAGGCCTGGTAAGAAAGCGCCTCTATGCTCTCCTTTCCCAAGGGTGGTGGGAGAGGGGCTCTGAAGGAAAAACAAACAAACATTGACTCACCCCAGTCTCAATTGGGGTTAACAGTAGGATGAGAAATACCCTTCCCTTCTCTCCTACTCCAGGTGAGCCACTACTGCTGAGGGTTCTTGCTTAGCTTTGGAACAGCAGTGCAACAAGGTCCTCCCACTTCGATGGGAAGACCTTTGACAACTGGTACCACACGCCCCTGCCTTTTGGCCCTACTGCCTGTCCAGTCAGGGACAGCCTGCGCAAGGCTCTCCGTGCCCCGCACACAGCTGCCTCTGCGCTGCCACCACGCATGTTTGCAAAAAACCAACAAATCAAAACAAAAACCGTGGGTGGTCACACAGTCTCCTTTGAACTCTGGTGGTGGACGGCAGCATGCTCTTATCTTGTACCGGGAGACCTCCATTTAGCCTGGCTGGGAGGAAAGAAACACTAATTTCCTTTGCTCCGTTTAAAGCTTTATTTACTTAGCGCTCTGCGGGATTGGCCAAGGTAAACTAACCTGAATCTGTTCTGCTGGCACATGGATAATGTGGGAAGGCCTGTCACCATGGTGATGAACTGCATTGCTTTCTTGTTCATAAATGGCATCGCGTTCAGGCTGAGGAAGACTGAGGAACCTTCGGATCATGGAGAGATTCTCCCAGAGGGTCCTGTTCTCTGGTGAGGGATCTTCTTTCCAACGTAACAGCTCACAGAGCCACCCCTTGAAGATAACACCAGCAAAACATTAGTTTTTTTTCCTCACTCTGTGAGGGGCAAAATGAGGCACTGCATTCTCTCATGCTCTTCCCCAACACGAAACAGCTTTCACTGTACAGGCTGGGCTTAAAGCAAACACCACTACACTGAGGAGCTGCCCCGCTATTTCACAGACCCTTACCAACCACAAGCATTTTGGAAAGCACCTTCCCTTGGTCCCACACCACAGCACTGCTGTTTGTTTGCTTAGAACCAAACCAGTTGACGAAGCCAGAATCGTTTACATGCTCCCTTCTGCAGGATAGGGGGTTCACGGACACCACTATAAGCTGTACTGCCTATTCTCTTGTATGCAAGGCTACACCCATCTGACAGCATTGATGCTGTATTTCAGGAGCCAGTAGATTGCCTGCTGAGCAATTTTAAAAATCTTGGTACTATTATTCAAAATAACAAAGTACTTCAGATATTTGCCTTGACTGTAGGGCTGCCTAACACAAATCATAGTGGTAGAAGATCTTCCTAACATCCTTTCAAAACAGGAATCCTTTGACTAGATGCAGTCAAGAAATAACTTCCTCATTTCTGCTACAAGTAGATGCATCTCTACCGGTGCACTTATTTCAAGTGATATATGACTGTTTCCAGATTGTCCTCATAGACCCAGAAAAAACCCTGTATCTCAGTTTTATATACAGTATTATTAGGACTTGGGGTGGACCAAAACGTACTCAAGTTTCTGATATGCCCTTTATACCATTTCCACATCACAGGGCAGCAAGATGCCCAAGAGCTTACCTATTCTAATTCAGATATGATTCTGGGATACATACTATGAAGTCAGCTACAGAATTCCCAGCAAGAACTGCAGCAGTTGCTAATTTGCTTCTGAAAGAGACATCGATAATGTTTCCTTACATCTTCTTAAAATTTAACTGAGGATTGTTTCTTAACTGTACACTGGTAGTGTTAAAAGAGGAGTGCAAACCCTCTAGCTAGGACAGTGTGCATCAGCAGAAATTTTCTGATATATTAAAATTTAGAAACAAAATACTACATCTATAAAACATGCATATTTCTTTTCCTTTAGCTTCAAGGATCTGTTTTCAAAACTAGGTCCATGCAATTTTATTTCTTAATGCTGTAGGGAAGATAATGTGACATTTTATTGAATCAACAAATAATATAAATGCACAGAAGCTTTTAGATCCTTTTTATATGTACTGGTAGTGGATTAATGGTATATCCAGACTAGTTTACTAATAGATACAATAGATACATAGATACGATATAGATATGTATTTTTTTGAAGACAGTCATATCTTTAGCTAACAGTTAATAAATGCAGTGTAAAAACATTGCCACGACAGGAGGAGCTGAAAGTAAACAAATAATCTTAATGCATTCATATTGTATATGAAAATATTTAGTGAGGTGTGTATAAAAAAATTGAAGAATATTCACTTGGATATAAGTGGAAAACTGAAAAAATGACAGAGGAGAAAATGCCCCCAAGAAATAGAAATAATCAAAATGACAAATGTTAGAGAGCTGGTGGTACAAGAGCCGAGAAGACAAAAATTTAAATGGGGCCAAAATTTGCTGGGTGCTCACAAGGTGTGCCAGGGAGGGAGGGAAGAGGGGGGAGAGTACTGGCAGCAGAAAGGCTCACTTGCACCCCAGGGATGGATTGCACCCCATTCCTTGACCATGCACTAAGCGGGGATACTGGATATTGCCCCAGGGTTTAGCAAGTTGACTGGGAATTATGGCCAAATGCCTTCATATAGAGCACACAACATTCAGCCTGTCCCAGATGGAATGGTATGGCATGTTTTCAAAACAGCAGCAAGGGTCTGTGGAATCTCCCTGGAATGTATTAGCAGGGTAATGTGCGAATCTCTGGGCCTCTAACAAAATCAACATGTTGCTCCTGGTTCTCTGCCCACCTTGCATCCACAAGGATATGTGCTGGATTATACTCAACAGCAGTATGAGTTTTCTGCAGTAAGTTAAAAGTGGTGCAATCAGAAAGCAGAGGTACCTTGTTGGGGATGGAGGACAGAAGACGACAAAGAGAAACAAATCTAATCTTTAAAGTGAAAATTTTAATTAAAACCCCCCCCCCAACCCACAAACCAGTCCATTCCAAAGCATGAAAATTGCCCTTTGGTTGTCTGGAGTCTGCACTGCTTCACACTGAAACTGTTGGCCCTTAGTGGTGAAACAAAGAGCAGAGTTCACCATCATAGCAGTTTGGTGAAAGTAAAAAAAGAAAGACAAGACAACCTGTCCCCTCCCCTGACAGCTCTCTAAGGCATACAGACAGACTGGAAAAGAATTTGAACCATGCATTTATTCTATCTGCTTACCATGTGAATCACAGGGTGCTTTGTTTTTTGTCTTTTTTTTTTTTTTTTTTTTTTTTTAAGACAGTAGGAACTCTTTTTAATAAAAAGTGTCCAGTAGTAAAAATAATTCCTAGGCAATCACATTTTATGCTGATTAAACATATTTCACAACAACAGTTTTTGTTAACTAAGAAATACCTTCTCCCCTACTTTAGTAGATCAGACCTCATTTTTATTAATTCCTGATGGCTAACATTATATTTCCAATATTCTTCTACCAACTCTTGCACTGAAATAATACTTCTAATTCCTTATCTGAAATTATTTGATGAATTGTAACCTGAAGCAAGTCTCTGCTAGCCTTTCAGGGAGTAGAGATTTTGAGATACTGAAGACAGATTCTTCTGACAGGGTACACATAATAGATTGCTCTTCTACCAAAACATCTCTATTCCACTGGGTGCGTCACATTTTTAAAGAAGTAGACACACTCTTCTGTGTCACAGGTGAAATGTGATGGGCAACATAGAAGCAACCAACTAAATTCTCACACAATTACAAGGACAGAAACAATCTTTTCATCTTCATGGTTTATTTCTCAACATATTTATGAAAGCTGATCTCACCAATGTCTTCAGATGAGATACTGAATGGACAGCAAGAGAGGCCGTAGGGGTTCATTTTGTAGTGAGATGAAGAACTTAACACCAATACGCTTTCTTTTGGCTCAAAACAAACAAAGGTTTCTGATTCAGAATTCTCTATATGAAATAAAGTTCATTCATAAAAGTCAGCTAAATAAGAATGTATGAAATGTTTTTTATAAAAATTAGGAAAAGTAATCATCCAGACTTTTACAGTGGTAATTTTTAAGTTCTGTAAAATTTATGAGGTTTTTTCCATTTGATATAAAAAAGTATGAACTGCTGTAGACAATGCATTTGAATTTACAAGCGAATGTAACAGGGCTGATTTTTCTCCTCTTACGGTTTTGTAAGTCTACAGCAATTTCTACCTAGTTCAAACAATCTATTCTGAAGGAGGGGCTACCCACTCATTGCTTTTTTTTTGTTGTTGTTGTAGTCTTACAGGAAGTAGAAATGACCACAAAATAATAAGGAAATATTCATAACTCAGACTAGATCACAACCAGTTTATACAGCATATATAGTACATTGCTAAAAAAAAATAATCTAAAACAGCCTTAAAATAATGAAGCCGATACATTTATGCAGCAAGGCAAACCCCCAAAAAACTCTGCAATGACATTGGGAACAACCTTGATTTTAAAACAGAGTAAATTTGCCAGGCAACATTACACTGAATATAAAGAGAGTACAAAGCAAAATATAAACATTAGCCACATGTAAATATGTTTGGAGAACTTTCAGGATGTTACTACTTTTCAAACTGACAAAGTTTAATTTGACACCTTCTGTTCTAAAACCTTTGTTTCTATTCAAAATCACGCCTTTAGCTGCTATCAATCACTATGCTCTCCCTATTACTTAAAATACTGGCATGGGCCCTGGATAAGCTGAAAATGCCATGCAGATGAATTCTGAGATAATATGTTCAAACCTGTTATATACAACACAAATCCTGTAAAGTTATGTATTGTAAACCTACATTTATTGGGAACTAAAAGTCTTAAATCCATCTGCTACAAAGAAAATACTGTTATGCACTTTCAAGTAACCAAGTACCATCTGCAAAGGTCTTGCTACAGTAAGCAAGAAAATGGTGAAAAAAAAAAAGATGCTAAACCTAAGATATTTAAAATAAATAAGAGTCTTCTGTCTGGTTTTCTGATAGGGATTTAGTAAAGAAACATAAGACATTAGAGGAAAAAAACCTGTGAAAGCTGAACTGCCAAACTATTGCAGGAAAAGCGCAAAGAGGATAACTGCCAAAACTTAGGCTCTGCAATACCCATGAGCATGCTTATTTTAAAGAAAGCATACATACATCTATATATCCAAATGCTATTTTATTCAGTCTGACCTGGGCTGCATTTAAATAAAATCTTCTGCTCTTTCACATAGAGTTTCTAACAAACTATTCTTGCATTCTGCTATCTTTCTTATAGACAAAAAAAAAATCTACAATAAAGGTGTGAATACCAACCCTAATTAGATAAAAGTGGATAACATTACAATCATGAAAAATGTTCTCTGGCCAAAGCTTTCCAAATCAGCAACAAGCACATCTAGTCTGGGAAGAAAAGGCTTCAACGTGTAGCAACTGAACTTCTTTGGTCAATTTGTTAGAGCGATAATAATTTGCCAAATGAAGAATATTTCTTATGGAATAACAAATACTTCAACATCTTAGACTGCAATTTGAATCTAAGAGGCAAAACATTTCAGAGTATCAATGCTAAGATATGATCCATTTTTCTTTGCTATAGTATATCTAACACTATTTTGTATCATTCTCTAGGGCATATAGTGAAATAAAAATATATGATGTTAAAAGAAATAAGTCTAAATAGGGAGGTATTTGATACAAACATTTTAGCAGAAAGTGTGAATTGCACTCCAGCATCTACTGTGAACAAAGACTAAGTACATAATCCATTAAACAGTACTTCTAACTCAAAAAAATTGAGTATTGTAGACTAAACTAAAGTAGGCATTTTGAATGAGCACAT